TCATTAAGGTGCTATTGTATCCTCCGGCAAAGCAGCCGTACGACGCCATGAACAGGGATAACGTCAGAAAAGACCGAAACAATGGCGTCACGATCACACCCACGGCACAAACTCCAACACATATGGTAAAGATGACGTGACGTTGTTTTGGGAATATGTCCATCAATATGCCGACTGCTATTCGTCCTGTAAGATCTGTTGCACCAAATATCAACAACACAAGTGCACCATCCTCACCTGACATACCTAGCTCGTCGGCGAAAGGCGGAACTACGTTGAATAAACTATGATAGCTTACCATTGAAAAAAAAGTCAAAGCAAAAAACACCGTAAAAACAGGATTGAGAAACAGCTTCCATTTAATTTCATGGAGAAACGTTTTCTTTGTCTTTGTAGGATTGTTTTTAACGATATGTTTGTTGGGAGGTGGCTCAAAACTCTGAGGAATACTTTGACAGGATATGGAGGCGGCCATAACATTTAGACTTCCGTTGGAAAGGTGTGGTCTTCTTTCGATGTGAGCTTTTGGGGAGAGATTGTTCGAGTCAGTGTCATCACAGTGCTGATGTGATAACATTACAGCACAATCCTCATTTTCCAGGGCTGAATCATATAAAATGATTGTTGTTTTTTCTTTACCGCTGTCTTTGCATTTATCTTTAGATTCGCTCTGTTTTATCAACAATACCTGTTCTCTGTCTCCATGAGTAGAGGAACTCTTTAGTGTTTTGCTCTTTAGAGGATAGCTAGTAAATGGACGGAGGAGCATGGCACACACACAGCAATTACCCATGATGCCTGCATAGATCAGCATGGCTCCCTGGAGACCATATTGATTGATAAAATATCTGATGAGGTAGGGAAGCAACATTGCTCCAAGGCCCCCTCCGGATAGGGCAACGCCGCTAGCGAAGGAACGGTATTTCTTGAAGTAATTTGCGACCATAACTACCACTGTTGAAAAACACAAGCTGTATCCGATGCCTGCAAAGTGAAAGCAGTTCGACCGAAATTGTACATGTCATTGATATTGTAATCTCAGAAACACAAATATGTTATCACAGGCTATCGTGTTAACCTCTCGTAAACGTACATTGCTGCATAAAACAATGATTAATGGAGGGTTAGGAAAACAAAGAAAGCGAACGTTAACCTTATATAAGTTCAATGTCCTCAAATAGAGTTAGTAGCAAGATCAAGGCTAATTCCATATTTGATAAAAACAAATATTTTTAATCCATGCAATCAGACACGACAATGAAGAGACCCAGCAATATCCTTTAGCTAATGTCATGTCAGTTCCCAATCTCAGATAACTGTCATTCTCGTCATGTAATAAGGAATCGCCTCAAATTAGCATCTTAGATAGACAACAATTATAACTTTATTTAAAAGTAAAACTACAGATTACGGACGTAATATATGATGTAAAAAATATAATATAAACCGCTTAGCTAGCATGCATGAAAATAAACTATTATTTGGAAATCAGTTTGTTTTAATATGGTTTGATTGTGTTTTATGTGCCATGGTTTGGTAGTTAAAGGAAATCAGAGTGCAAAAAGAAAACAAAACGACCTGCAGCCAGTACCTGGCGACTGCCCTACGTCGATCCCGCGACCAAGCGGTGGAGGGCTCATCATGATCGTAGACGCCTTAATCACTCAACCACCACGATCCTATTTTTTCTCCCGAACAGAGGTTAATATAATTTCAATTCATTCATCAGGAACGCATTCATGGCTGCGTTATCAAGTGAACATCATATAATACATACGTACCGGTTATCAGGCCATAGGTGAAGAAGAGTACGACGACAGAGGGCGCTAGTGAAGACAAAATCAGGCCTGTGCTGGTCATGATCCCACCGGTAAAAATCACCACTCTATGGGTGAATCTGGTACTCAGCGCATTACAAACAGGACCTGGAAAGCAGAAAAATTGACAATAAAAAATGATAGAATTCATATTTTCATACAGAGTCTGATAAGGTCAGTTTGACCTTGACATTTGTAAGAAGGTCGTGTAAAAGGAACACGACACCACACGACAAAGTGAAATGCTTTAACGAAATAGCGCATCTATCTTGAAACTACACACCTCACCAATTAATGGAATAAGTATGTACACTAGTAATGCATCAAAAGCCTTCATTGCTACATGAATGCAAATACTTCAGAACGAATCTAGAGAAATAGATCCCATTGGCCTGTATCGCTCAACTTTTGTTCAATGCTTCTAGCGAATGTTTCCAGTATCTGTGACCTACAAAATGAGTTAAGCTTAAAAGTATTGACACGAAGACTGCAAGCAAGCTAACGAATCTGGTTAAATTTCATTACTTTTAATTTATTTTCCTCACGTGACGTTCAGGGTTATCCATTTGAACAACCTTGGTAACATATATCCGAGCAAACTGCGGGCCAAATATCACTGCATAGGCCATACGAGAGTTAAATCTTTCACATATTAACCCTAACGATGAATATTCCACAGTTAAAATGCCATTACGCCTGATAAAATGGTTCTTTTGAAGACTTGGAATGGAATGAATGATTGCGTTTTAAGTATAGTAAAATCTGGACTGAGTACTTTTTTTTAATTCGCTTACTCTTCCGGAATACATTGTCTTATACTCGATTGTGAGATCGAATAAAAGTTTTCCTGACACTTCGTCATTCTCTTGTCAATTTGTTGTTTTAAATATTTTCAAATCTGGTTTTTCTCCTTTGTCAAAATTTACTTACATTGAATATGTACCTGGTAGGGACGAAATCCCTATGAAAACTGGTCACTTTTTATCAACTATTGAGTTTTGTTGAGGTGAATAAGTGGTTATATAAAACCACATAATTACCGTAATAAAACTGAATTGTTTTATTAGATGTTATATGTTTTAATTGTTAAAATGATGTAAAGCATGCTAGTTGTATAAGGGAAAATACTGTATTTTGACGAAAGCATTGTGACGTCATAATTGAAATGATCTCATGAATAATTATTGATATACTGTTTCTAAAACGTTGTTTGATCGTTTCAAAATCACAAAATACCGAACTCCACATGCTAATGATCCTTCAAATCAAGATGTAGGGAAAATGTGTGTTATCCAATCAATTATGAGCTCTAAGGAGGTGAAAGCCAAACGAGCTTACCGAAGAAGAGGTAACAGAAGCCTGCCAAAGACTGGACACTAGACAGGACTTGGTTAGACACCTGGAATTTCTTGGCCAGTTCGACATACAGTACGCCAAAAGACTTGAGACCTCCTATGATAAGCATACAGATTCCGAAACTTCCTGAAACAAAAAGAGAAAATTTAAGCTTCAGAAACGTATTTCTAAGCAGCGTGAATAGCTACAATCATGTTAGTAGAGAACTGAGTATTTCGTAGACGACAACGTTATGACATAATCATTACATTTTTTCGTATATTCACCTATAAGTACAACCCATGCCCATCCTTGATCTACGGGATTGCCGTATTTTTGGCATTCGGTTGATTTTTCATCTAGTTCCGTTTTCTTTTCTTCCTTGACACTATTATTAAGTGTTTCTGCACCATCAGTCTCCTTTGTCATTATGCTGACCTCTCCTCGTTGTCCTATCAATTCGTCCCTCCGATTATCTGTAATTCCCATCGGTCGACATACTTCTGAAGGTCTACCATTTCCATTAGCATGATCGTCTACCAGATCATCTGTTATTCCCATCCGTATAGTTTCCTCCGTTGTCTTTTTGTCCCCTTCTTCATCAAAAGCGTCCGCATGACAGTCTGTTTCATATTTCATCGGTTTTCTATCATCTTCGCCTGCGATCATGTTTATTTTCTCAACACCGTCCTCACACTGCAAGTCACTGAGGCTTGTCCGATCCATGTCACTGATTTATTAGGAATCTGGTCTGTCAGGCGTTGTCCTGGTTGAGTACATGCTCGTGATCAGCTTTCATTATCATCAATTAAGTATCCATTCATCTGATCAATTTGGGATACCTACAGACTTACAGCTCGCCTATAAATAGAACAGATATGCAACTTTTATACACATCTTAACGTATCTTTTTAATAAATTTAAATGGCAAACACAACTGTTTCTATTATTACGTTACACCTGTATATCGTACCTTTTCACAACACATACAAATGACCTGTTTATACAGTGCACAAATGTTACCTATATACAAGGTTGATACTATGCCAGGGTTATTAATAAAATCAAAATTCAACAATCAGTGACGGCGTCTCTTCATTACAATTATACAGTATATACTAAACACGGTCCTGTCGATTTTTGATGTGTATGTTGGGTAAAAAACGGAGTTGCAGGTCACTGATTATGCAAATACAAAGTTTCGTCTACATTCTAAAGCCGCCAAACTATCTGTTTCATAAATCTGTGGTCAAATAAGAAGCACTACTCTGCGTAAGGGACATCTATTTTCAATACTTACTTGTTTTGGTACTATTTATCGGTTTTGTTTGTTTGTTATTACGATGCCCGCCTGTTTCATTTGCGTTTTGTATATCGATGTAAAGATATCGGGACTCATTTCAGCAGCAAACAAAAGGTAAAAATCAGAAAGAAACAATTATTCCAACGTCTACCACTACCCATCTTGATTCCTTTGTCAGTAATAGTGTGTAGCTGGTGTTGAGATTTGTATGGAGGAAGAAGGATTAAAAAGACATTCAGAAATTATACTGTAAGGTCATATGACGCTCACAGACTTGCTTAAAGCTGATAAGGACAAGCGCCCGACACATGTACGTAAGTCTTCGGACAGCCCACAGCTTCATTTGTATTTATAGAGATTATTGTCAGTACCTCTTGAACATTGAACTTCAATAAACTTCTGCCCCCTCTACAACAGTTATCCTTCCCGAAAAGACATTTTACAAAGTAGTCGACAAACATCAACTATTAGAAGCCATACGATGTTCCCGCACCTCTGGGTCGTTTGCAAGAGACAGTCGCGTGTATATATTAGATGCAAATAACTAACCCGTCTCTTTTCTTACCGGATAAAGTACGGTGACATTAATATATTTCAATTGAGGAGACCTCCGTCACAGTTATGACCATCTTCTCTGCAGTATTGGTTCTGAAAATATGGTGGAGACCTTACAAGAACCTGTTGGAAGGCCGATTCGAGCCATTGCATACACATAGATACACAGGGGGTATGTATTCCATTAAATCATACACCATAAAGGATACAACGCTAGAGCTAAAACTGAAGGGAAAATAAGTGATCCAAGTTCAAGCATTTATGGACAGAGCCAGATCTGCAGTCAAGGACGCCATCGAGGATGAAAGATTTCAATTTCCATAAAAAAGAGAAACGTTCAAAATCCGTCAATGAGACAAAAGCTATCGCAGCCAAATCTTGTCAGTGAAAGAATTCTAGTGAAAATCGTATAAATTCACCCGAACGAAACATTGCTTACTTGGATGAATGGAACAGTGACAAAGAAGTATAAGCAAAGTTTTCTCTATTCACCATGCTTCTTACCAGGTGACCATATCGAATATTTATTATTGAGAATGTGTACCATATCGTATTCAATACCAATAAAACAAAAATATAAGTCATCTGAACGTGAAATGCAAAACAACATGGCTGACAACACATCCCTGGCTATAGCCGAAAAGACGGTAACCATCAACATTTAACCTGCCTATACAGACTTTGTGGTCACAGTTTGACGTCTACATGAACAAAAAAGCTGTTCCCCCGAATCTCTGGAACTAGAATGTATAAAAGAAAACCCTATTTTCCATTGGCTTTGACGTCGCCAACAGTCAGCTCGAATGAAAGACAATTTTTCGCCCTGACTATAACTTCGACAATGCCTACCCCGGAATATCCAATGTCATCTATATTGAAACGATACACATGTGTACAACGGAGGGACGCGTGTCCAACATTGAGGGACTTAGGAAAGAAGAGAATTTTCGTATGGTCGACCTACTCAATGGCGTGAAAGCACTTTGTCTTAATGGGCGACGCCTCAACACTATCGTTCAAGCTATAAATTCTTGACGTTGCTTTCAAACCTTTTCACTCGAACCGACTGGACAGGTGTTGAGCTTGACTGCCCTTTTAACAACATGGTATTTTATTTGGAAGTGTCGTCTTTCAGGATGTCTGCGTCCGTATCGATGACAGTCTTACTCAACCACGCCAACATCTTGAAAGACGACACCGCCAATTATCCTCTTTGCAGACGTTTGGTCCATGTCGTTCCCTATACAGCTTACTTTGCCTTCGTCAACGGAAGTTACGGAAAACCCCGTTTCGATGTTCTCATTTAAGCACAAGAATGCGCCCTGTACGTCGACTGAGTGAGAGTGCATGCTAGACTCATGTTGATAAGTCGGAAATAGTCGGAATGACATCAACCCGTAACAAATTGGCCGAGATGTGGAACGAGATACAAGAGCCGACCATGCACCATCAACGTTTGAAATACAAAAAAAAAAGATACTGTGCCTTTTGAGTGGCTCTGTGCAACCTGGGACAGACTCGTGAGGCAAGGTTCTGCCGGATTGCATATAGTAATTGCCACCAACATTTTGGAAACTGAACTGTCCAATATACACTGAATATCCTGACCTGATAGAATTATACCATTTCATTTCAGAGACATAGGTATACAAAAATAATAATATGGAATGTTCCATGTTCATTTGTTTTTATACTTGATGTGAAAGCGAATGTCTGTCAGAGTTTACAAGCAAAGCCTAATCGTGCGATACCTTACCAATTGTCACTTATCCCTCTGCTTATATGTCGAAAACGGACCAAGCTTATGATCCGGAAAACACGGGGTCGTTTGTCTGATGTTGCTGAACGTTATGCTACGCTAAGCTATACCAATTAACGCGGCACTGCTGTAAACATGTGTCACATGCGTATGAATATCACTTTCTGTTTAATTTACTGATGGAATGTACGAACCTAAACAGCTGCGACATTGATCGATTGGTACGGACGCATGAGACTTTCTTGTATTTTTCTTTTTAAGAGACAAACGCAAAACAATGGAAAGTGCAATTACAGACGATGACAACTGAAAAACTGCAAGCAGTGTTGTTAAATAAACAGAACGTGTACCAAAGAACATTTTCCCGTCAACGAGTTTTGTGTCATAAATTGTTTACGTCATGAAACTAACTCCATAAAAGAAGATCATTCGCAGAAACGTTTATGTCAAAAAAGATATATTGTTGCAGTGACGGAAGATACTTATTTGGGTGAACGAGGGTTCTTGCATTGACAAAGACAAAATGTGACATCACTGTTTTTTAAGCTTTATATACAGGAACTAATAGTAATTGGCTGACGATCGAATACAACCATAAATCGATTGGTTTGGCCTTTCTGATTCCGATTATTGATTACAAATTCCATAGTCGATAATATCGATTCATTATTGAAATCAAAGTGACAAATGTTTGCAATCTACAGTATGCGTTGAAAGCCATGTATTGTTATGAATTTTACTATTTGATTTACAAAACTGCACTTAAGGTGCTTGAAATCAATTCATATACGAACCAAACCTAATGGATAAGTAACAACTCTGTTTATTGATGTAATAAATGTTCTTACTTTATTTGGATATTCAGTCCCATAAATTATAAACTGATTATCCTAATATGCAATCGATCAACAAACGGTTTACTACTTCCTAATGCAAACCTATAATCGGTTATAATTTTTAACCGATTTTCTGTCATTAGGTAATAGACTCCTTATAACATGAATACGTCACAAAATTTGGAGACTTCCAAGAAACTCCCTGAATAATGGAGTTTTCCCGTGACGTCATACTCCAATCGTCACACACCTGACATGACAATGACATTCCATAACAATTACAGGGGGTTTCCCCGTGATATCTCTAATCCTGTTCAATAGTATATTAATTGTACATGAGTTTGTTTGCATTATGTCATGCATATATATATTACTTCATCGTGCACAGTACGTCAATATAACTATACCTACGGCATTTAACAGTGATTCCCTCTCTAGTACTAGATCTTACGCGGATGCAATCGTTTCAAGTCCAAGGACCACGCATGGACCGTTGACGACAAGTACACCTAATGTAGTCAACAAACTACAAATGTCTGTCATCCGTGATGATAAAGGTACCCCAGTATCTGCATCTATTAAACCCGGAAAATCATCTGACCGTGAGTTACTAGAACTTATTTATAACGTCTTCCTGTAATGTGTATCCAGAGGATTTGATAAAGATTTTCTGTGACATTGCTGACTTTCTATCCATGTGCATTAAAACACGTGCTTACTATAATCTCGTAATAATATCAGTTACTATTCTTCACTTACAAATCTAAGCATGGCAGTATTTGCTGCAGTAAAATACTAATTACATATAATTATTTACAATTTTATTTCTCATATGATCGATACTTATTCCCTGTCGAATATTTACCTATAAATGAAACATAAATGAAATCAATGTACATTAATTCGTTCTGCTAATTATATTCTATTGTTATATGTTTAATTAATCACTTTTCTTATTTATTTATTTTTTCTCATGTCGGGACTAGGAAATTATTATTCCTCTCTTTTTACAATATAATATTGTAAGCTAACTAGGCTCTTATGGCTTTTGAGGCCTAGAGTTATTCCACATGACTTCCAGAATATTAACCAATCAGATTCGCGTTGTTATCATTCATGACTGGCTGTTTACATACTGGGTATGTATTGTCGGCGTCTATACTTTTGTCGATAGGCTCTCACAATCTTTCAATACATAATTATATTTATTTTATTATAACTATTTTTATTATTATCTCTTCCGCTCCCCTACTTCCTTCTATATTGTCGTCCGGTAATTGAGTCCTTGCATTTAAATATTCATAACCCATAGAGTATGTTGCTCTCAGCTTATTATACTAAAAAGTTATATAGCTAACTAAAACTTAAATATAAAATTATTGTAATTTTTATATAGCTGTGAAATCAT